ATTTTTTATAAAATATTAGTTTTATTTCTCTTAGTTATAGATATTGATTCAACTAATGTATCTTTAGAATCAGTTGTAAATCTTAATCCTATTTTTTTCTACTCTTTTTAACTTTTCTAATCTGGGGTCAATTAATTCTAACATGAATTAGATATTGTTTTAAACTTTTGAATAGAATTGATTTTTAAATGATTTCTTTTATTTGTTTTCTAATTTGTTATTTTCATTTATCTTTTTCTGTTGCTTTTTTTCTGTTTTGATTTGATGATCTTCTTGCTATAATTGGATTTGAAACTGAATCTTTCTATTGTTAAGTGATTCAAGTAACTTTCTGTTAGTTTGTTTTTTTTATATATATGTTTTTCTTATTTCTTGAATTGTTTTTTCATGAATTTTAATATTGTCTTTAATGCTTTATCATGTTTTGCATCCAAAAAGTTTTATATGAGATGTCAAGACTTTATCCAAATTACATTGGTTTTTTGCACTGATAATAATAATGCTTTTCTTTTTTTCAATTCTACTATTAGTTAAAATATATATTGTTTTAGCTTTAAGATGTTTAATAATACTTATTATTCTTGTAGTTGAGATTGTTTTGTCAATTTCATAATCTTGTTATAACTTGGTTAAAAGTTTTTAAGATTGAAAGATAATTTTCTAGTAAAGTAATTCTTGTTATTATAGTATTCAAAAATATGAACCAAACCAAGTTCAGGTTTGTTTTTGTTATATGAAAGAATATTATAGTACTATTAAAGTTATCTTTGGTTATTTTGATTAAATCAGATTCTCCATATTTACTGATGACATGTTGAATTTTTTTGACTATATAATCTGTTGGAATATCCATTAGAATTATTTTAATTACTTTGAATATAGGGAATAGTATTATAGAAGTATCTTCTGAGTTTTTTAATGAAGCATTTAAAAATAATATATTGTTGTTAATATTGATAGTAATACTTTAGGAAGGAAAAATGTTTTGAAGTTATTATTTGTAGGTAATGGTATCTGCCAAATTGTTAAAGTTGTGAATTATCCATTTATTGTTTTCTATTGTTAGAATTTGAATTCTTTTATGTTTTATAAAAACTTTCAACATTTTAGCAACTTGTTAGAATTGTTTTTTTCTACTTATTTCAGATATTAAATTGCATTTAACTCATAACTGGACTTTATTATACTTATATACTAGATTGAATAGGTTTTATTTTTTATTAAATGATTATACTATTGTTTGCTTAGTTGTATTAAGAGTAACTTAATCTTTTTTGTTAGTGTTTGATTCTTGAATTGAAGCTAAATAGATATTTCCTTTATTTTTTTAATTGATCTTATTTATACAAATTTTGAGATCTTTTTTATATTCAAAATGAATAATATACTATTTGTTATTATTTCAGAATATTGGCTAAAATAAGTATTAATTTTTTTGTGAAAGCTTAAATATATTAGCTAAGTATTTGAGTTGTTCTATTTTGTTATCTCCTAATATTAATACTATTAAAATTCCAGTTATTAAAAAGACTTTTTTACTAATATAATAAAAATTTTGTTATAAGTATTGTTTATTTCTTGTTATATAGTTATATAAAGTTCTAATATCTTCTATAAATAAAAAGAAATCTAATAATATTATATTGTTATTTTTGGCAGATACATAGTGGTCCCTTATTATTACTTCAGAAATTTATGACTCTTTGCTAATAATTTAATAAATTGTTGATTGAACTTTTATAATTACTTATAAAATAGAAAGCTATATAACAATTTGTAATATATTGTAATTGTAATTATTATTTTTTGTTATGAGTTGTTTTGAAGATAGTATAGTTTCTTGATCTCCATTTTATAAGTGTCATAAGTCTTGGACTGAATGTAAGATATCTATGATCTGGGATACTTGTTGTAAATCTTTTAATATACTGTATATTTGTTTAATATGTTCATATTTAGTTGATCAAATGCTCAAATTTGTTTGATATATTCTTTAGCTAATATCTATTTTACAATTGTATGGAAATTAATGTTAAAAAACTTTGTAACTATCATATCTATAATTGTAATATTTATAATTGCTTCTAAATCTGCAAATTCTAAAGTTGTATTTGTTATATTATTTTAAATTGAAATATAAAACCATCTTTATTTTTCTTCATTATAATTGTTTTCAATTGTTTTTAGATAATCTATTATCTAATTTTTTATTTGAATTGAATTGAGATCAACTATTACATTAGACTTTTGTTGGGTTGACATATGTAAACAAGTTTGCTTTGTTATTTGTTTTTTGATACATGTTGATTTGCTTAGAATAGCTTGCTATAAAGTGTGATTATATCTTTTTGGATGTAAGAGATTAAAATTGACATGTGTTTTATCAAGAAGTTTGAAATCTGCTTATTTAGTGAACCTGATTATATTTTGTTACTTGATTTGTAATATAAATATATCTGTATTACTGCAAATTTTGCCCTTAAAGGTAAGCTAACTTTGGTAAAATCTAATATTGTTATAAACATGTGTTCATATTTTGAGTTGTATTTGTTTACTTAGTAATTGTTGTTATTATTTGACTTAAAAAAGTATGTGTTTATATTACTGTTGATCTTTGGAAGGAAATAAACTGTTTCTGGTTTTTTTGTCTTCAAAAATTTAGATCGCATAACAGTTGTTATTTATTTTCATAAATTATTAAGATTTGCATTTTTCTTTTCAATTATAATAATAATAAAGTCTTGATATTTTTCTGATTTTGTATCAGTATATGAGGTTATCTGATTTATCAGGTGTGATCTAGCTAATACTAAATTCTGTTGGTATCTAGAGAGGTATTTAATCTAGTATATAACTAATTTGCAGCTTGTAAAATATGGTGCCAACTTTCTTTTTTAATTTTACTATGAATTGTATTTTTTTCTTTTTCAGTAAGGAATTACAAGTATCTATCTATATAATATAGAAATAAAGAAGAATTGGTATACTTTTTGAACTTACAATATATCTGTTATATGTTCTTCTTTATTTTCAAGAAAATATTATAAAGTTTTCTTTTAATGTTTTCTTTAATATTTTTTTGAAGTGTTTTTTAATATTGCCAAAAAAAATTTTTTTTAGGAATTTTAGAATTTGTAAAAAAATGTTTTTTTTATCTATTTTTTTTTACTAATTATATATATATACATATTATTTATATATTAATTACAATATATTAAATATATTAATTTTAACTTAATATTTTATATACTGATATTATTGTAAAAGAATATTTGTATTATTATATAAACTGATGTCATGACAATAACAAATCTTTTATCTGAGTTTTCCTCACTATAATTGTTTTGTTTCTTTTATTTCTTTTTTTAATTATATATTTTTTCTTGATTATAGTTTTTTTGTTTTTTTTTTCTGGTAGATAAATATTATTTCTTTATTTATTGATATTATACCTAAAGTTATATACACTTGTGAAAAAAACAACATCTCTTGTATACGAAAATGCAACAAGTTAAATACCAATTTGCCTACATATCTATACTTAGTTAATATCAAAAAAAAATTTAAAACAATATTATATATACTAAATATAACTGAATAGCAGCTATGCTTACTTACTCAGAGTTTTTTGATCAGATGTAAAATAAATTGAAAACAAAACAAAATTGAAAAGAAAAAAAAATTAGGTTACAATAATATTGGCTACTAAAACTAAAACTGGGTTGCCTAAACTATAAAATCTATATAAACAAAAATAATATTTAAAAGATGACCAATAATTTGGCCCTTGCTTGGTGCTGATTTTAGAAATGTAACTCTTATTGACATGGATAGTAGAATATAGTTGACATTGTTTGTTATTGTGATAGTAATAGTTGTTGTTGTATTAAAAAACTGGTTTAAACAGGTTCAGTTTTTTCTTTGTTGTTTTGATAAAATCTGATTGGATAATTGAAGAGCAATAATTATCTAAAGGGAGTAAGCTGATTTCAGTTTTTTGGAAAAATTTTTTTGGAGATTTTGGAATGGTGCAGTAAATAGTGTCATGATAAGGTTATATGTGAAGATTGTATTAAAACAAACAATAGACCCAACAATATTGTTTAAGTATGTTTTTTGGAAGGTGTTTTATTTAGTGAGTGTAATGATATTAATGTGAATAGTTTTTATGATATAATAAAAAGAAGGAGAGATGCAAGAGAACAAAAGAAAAGAGAACAGCCACAGGCCTTTCCTTATGCTACTAAAAGATAAGCAAGACTCTCAAATTCAAGTAGATTTTGACCAGAGGTCCCATCCTACTGCACCAGTTGTCTTGAAGGTTCTTGAGTTTTTGAGCTGGGGCTCACTTGCTATAAAAAGTATAAACCATTTTTTCTTGCTTAAAATTACTATAAAAGGAAAATTTTAACAAAACGGACATGATTAGGAGAGTTTTTCTAGTATATTTTTCTTGATTATAGTTTAAATAATAGATATAGTAATTATAGTAGAAATAATTAAGATAGTTATTATAATTTCACTATAAGAATAAAATATATATAAAGAAAAGGCCAAATCTCTAATAAAAAAGGAAGTTTCTACAACAAAAACTGAATAAAAGTTTGAGTAATTGTTCCAAAATAACTGTATTGATGAATTGTAGGTTTGTTTTCTGCCTCAGCCTTAAAAACCTTAGTAACAAAAAGAGGGTTTGAATAGCCCCTCATATTATTTACATTTAATTTATATACAATATAACATGTATACTATATACTATATTTTTGCCTCTTAAATATATAAAATAATTTCACTTTCCATATGTTTCGTTCGAGATTCAATAACTTCCTCAACGCTTCTTTCATACTGTAATACACTTGGTAATGTTTAGACTTAAAAAATAATACAACAGAAATATCATAACAGTTAGAGTAAGTGGCAAATCATGATGACCAAAGTATTGAAAATTTAATTTTTAGTTATATGCATCGTTACATATCAGTTGTTAACACGTAATATATTTATAATTCACTTAGGAGTTCTTTAAGATTAAGAACTGGACTATTTTGTGTATTTATTTTCCTACATTTTCCGCGAATGTTTTCAGAATGTAACTTTTGGACGATTTTTTCTGTTTCAGATAATTTCCTCTATATAAAATAGAAAAAGCTGATGGTTCGTGAATTTATTAAAATAATAGGATAAAATGATAAACATCAAATTACATACCTCCAACTCTTTTAGAAGGCAAAAGACGCTTTCAAATAAAATACAACTTTCTCTATTAAATGGAAATGAACAACAATCAATTCTCCCGAAACGGTATATGCCATCTCCAGCCCAATCCATGGCATACAAAGATAAGTCTAAACCTGTATTGTGAAATCACATTAGTTATATAGTGAAAAAAAAAGAATCTGTTACCTGAAAGTGTCCATCCGTATACAATGAGCTCTTTTCTCTGATCATCACACAAATATCTCCATTCTTTAAGAACACGATTGAGTGAATCTCTCATCAACACAGCGAGTTTTATCTTATCGAAATATATTTTTTTTCGTGAAGCAAGTGAGATTCCAGTCGAGGAAAGTCCGCCCGCAACTTCCCCATATAACGCCTCAAATTTATTTGAGGTCCTATTCAAGACTCCTTTCATATCAACCTTTCTCCCCATGTGAGCCTTAACAAAAGGTTTTTCATTTTCATTTCTTGCCTCGTTAGAGCTAAGCACTTGAACTTCGCCCCTATATGCGAAAAGTTAATATCACTTTATATATTCTGCTGCATAATAAGTGAACAGTAACCTACCATATATCATTGACCATTGATGAGTCCACAACTGCATTAAACAGAGGGTAAATCGTTGTAAATTTGAGTGATTCTTCTGTCTTAGCTCCCTTGATGGAAGGCATATGACATATTCTGGTAGAAAAAAAGTCCTTAATAGATAAATTCAAGAGTTCACTAAAATAACTGACTAGCCAATTCTTACGCAAATCTAATATTCATGTGGAAATTTTCAAACGTTGAATAATCTTCAATTCTCTCAATCTTAGATGGATCGCAATTAGATTCGAAATATTCTTGAAGATATTTAGGAGTTGGTTGTGGAGACCATTGGACGTGATCTGCAAAATCTTGTGTGATTGCTTCAATTTCGTTCTGGGAAAACTCTGTGCAACCGTGGAAACTCTCTAGGGTCAAATCGAAAATTCCCCAGTAACCTAACCTATTATATAGCAAACAGATTTTATGAATAAGTAATTTCATATTAAAATTAAAATAGCAAAGCTCATGTTATAATTCGATGCGTTTTAGTAATCTTATTTTGATAACTCGTGAATTTCGCGGAGATGCTTTTCCAAAAGTCTTCTTGATTCGAAGCCTATTAAATATTATTAAATCGACAAGCTGAAAATCAATTATTATAATCTTACAAAAAACTTACATCAATTTTCTTTTTTGAATCTTTCAAAGCAGGTAATGTCACTTCCTTTCCCAAACCAGATTCATCAATGGATTCAATTATATCTTCCTCATGTGATTCATCGAATAAGAAGCTCGATTCTTCCATTGTTTTCTTTGATAGTTCATCCGTATTGTCTGTTCTTCTCTTTTTCTGCTCACGTAAAACTTTTTGTTGTGTTGTTTTTCTTTTGATGCTAACATCTGTGGCATCGTCATAAGCTTTTTTGTTCGTTAACAAGTTCTATTTTTTATTGCAAGCTATACGCGTAAGTTTTCCATTTATATCGTACCTATTTATATTAACAACCACTAACCTTGCTAATATTTTTATCCTTTCTTTCTTTTATTATTGCCATATATGCCCCCTCAATTGTTTTTATCGCATCTTGGCTTTCAGTTTCCTAATTCCTAATTTTATAAGTATTCTACAAGCAAATAAAAGTAAATAGATTTTGATACTTACATTTATAGTTTCCGCGAGACTTTTCGCATACGCACGAACTTTAGGAGGAACCGATCTGATATTATTTATGATACATAGAGACTCGTAAAATTGTTCTACGCATGTGTTCCAAACAAGAGGCTCAGTGTTCTCACATATCCAACAAATATAATGTGCGAAGGTCCAAAACCTTGCCTGTACTGTACGAAAGTACAAATGAACCTTCGAATTCTCTGTACTAATATCAACACAGTACGACCAGGTTTCAACAGACATACTTCTATGGTTTTACTAGTTCAGAGGCAGAGAACGCAAACAAAAATACCCGAACAAAAATACGCGATCAAAAATACGCGATCTCTGCTCACGTGATTATACACAATAAAATCGTTAAACTTCTATTTTAATTGTTTTATATAATTGGGTTTATTTATTATATGGTCCATAACATTTACAATTGACAAATAATTTTAAATAATTTTTTTTTTTTTTTTTTTTTTTTTTTTTTTTTTAAAGTTAAACGGCATTAGATACAAATTCTTTATTGGTAACAATGTATCCATTACATCAAGCATCCTTTGTAATACATGACTACAACTAAATGCTAGCC